TGTAAGGTCTGTTTATGCTTATGTTTCTGTATTGACAATGACATCCCAAAGTTTTAATATAAACAAAATACAATTCTTTGGAAATGCTTTGATAATATATTTATCATGTTTTCTAGGAACAAATTCTGCAACATATTTCTTTAAAATGGAAACTCTGATTTTTAAATAAGCATAAATAAAATTTTAAAATGACCGTGAAATTGGTGATGTCGCAATCATAAACCTTTTGAATCATAAACATTTGTAAAATATTTGATCCAAAAAAAGTTATGATTCAAAAAGTTTACGATCCTTATTTTTTATCCGAAAAGATTATGAATAACAAATGTTATGATTTATAATTTCTTATGATTCAAAACTTGACTTGGTTGAAAATATTATCATCCTAATAATATGATTTAAAATGAATTGATCCAAAATATTATAATTCAAATGTTATGATTCAAAAATGACGATTAAAAAACGTTATGATAATAAATATAACTTTACAAAATTCTAGCAACAATTATAAACCGATGAAAAAATCATATCACAAACGAAGATTTTAACATAAAATAATGTATTTTTATGTTGTATTCTATGATGTTACGAAAAAAATTACAAGCCCAAAAGCTATAGGTTATTTTCCCATGTTACAGCTAAAGTAAAAAATAAAAATTACACCTTTTGATTTATAATAAAATCATAAATAGTTAATATTACATATTATGCCACATGATATTAATTCTTTAGTAAGAAATCCATCAATGTGTAACAAAAAATAAACCATCTAACAAACGTTGAATATAAAATACGTATAATCATATAAAATTTATAATATTTAATACTAATTAAAAAAAAACCTTAGCAACAGTGAGGCACAATGTAATTACGAATTCATTTTCACCAATCAAATGGGCCCAAACAATAAATGTGGAGAAATGGACTAGAAGGCCACATATGCAAAAGGCAGCGGACCACTAATCTATAATTGGCGGCACAAGTTTGGCCCAAACGATAACTTGACAATTATACCCTTTATGGAATGATTGACAATTGTTCTCGCGGTTTTTACCAATTATTGAGTTTCTACCGGATCCGGACTCTCTATATATATATATATATATATATATATATATATATATATATATATATATATATATTAAAAAAACAACCCTAAAATACTTTGCTGTGAAATTGCTTTCTCGCCTTTCTCACCTCCCAAATCACTCTTGTAGCTGACAACGCTCCAGTGGATAACCGCTCACAAGACCTCTAACGACACACTCCCAAACCTCCGGTGTCACCCTCCCACACATGCGACGCCTCCGTCTTCTCCAATTGCTGGTTCATTCTTGTTGTGAAATCGCTGGTTCGTTCTTCTCTTCTTTCCAACAACAAATGAAGTATTTTTTTATGACTTGCTTATGTTGCTGTGAAAGATGTTACTCTGAAATTTTGTTGTGAAGTATGCTTATGATTTCTGAAAAATCTTGTGAAATTATGCTTTTGAAGCACTCTTCCTCAATTCCTTTTGCGACACTTTCCATGATTCCAATTCCAACAAATCTTTCACTTGTATTAAACTCATTGCATGTTATTTGATTCCATTCTCTGCTTCCTCCACTGTCTGGTCAGGAACAACCATACGAAATTATGTTGAAATAGTGAAATCTGTGAAAACTTGTTGATTTTCTGAAATGTTGCTTTGAAATTATGCTAAAACCAGGATCTTTATTATAGAAAACTTATGTTGACAGCTTTCACTTTTAATCATTATTACAGAAAACAAAAAGATTCCCTTTTAATCTGTTGACAATCTTCACTTTTAATATGAATTACAGCCATTTTGGTTTGCATATAAATTGTTGATTGCATTTTTTTTTCTATGTAGATGGAAAGGTCTCAACTAGATCGACATACTATTGATGTTGATGCCCCACCTACTATTGATGTTGATGTTGATCGTGATGTTGATGAAGGAGATGATAAAGAAGTTGCAAATAATAAGGGTGGTGGTCATAATGTATCTTGGATATGGCAACATTTTGGTCGAGAGGGCATAAAGAAGGGAGCTTAGAAAGTGGAATGTGCATGTTGTCCAACAATGATGTGTGCAAATTCGAAGAAGAATGGTACAAGTTTAATGGGAAGTCATGTAACGCCTGTGCCAGGTATCATTTAATTTTCAAGTTTTTAGGGTTTTGCACCGGGACTCGACGAGTTGGGGAGCCCAACTCGACGAGTAGAGATCGATATTGGACACGGGACTTGGGGTCTAATCGACGAGTTGGAAGCCCCAACTCGACGAGTAGACATTGTAAATGAAAACCCTAATTTTCAGGGGTTTGTACCCTATTTAATGAACTTATGGGTCATTTGTGGCCTCCCTCATCGTCCTAACTGTCCAGAGAGAAACCCTAGCCGCGCTTTAATGCCTTCTTGAGTGTGTGTGAGCTTTGGAGAGTGAATCTTGAGCTTTTTGGAAGGAAACTTGAAGATTGAAGAGATTGAAGTGAGGAGAGGGCTTTAGATCCAGCATCTACCTGGTGTTAGCATCCATTTGGAGGTAAAAAGTTGCTATCTTGATCTCTATTTGCTTAGATCTCATCTTATGAAAGTATATGGTCACTTTTGGTGCAAAATGGTGTCATACTCGGATTTGGACTTGTCATGAGGATATGGTTCCAGTTCTCAACACCTCTAGGCCTTCATGGACATAAAGTTGCTCCCTTTACCTAGTCTAGGCCCTTTTCCATGCCCTAAACATTGTATGAACCTTAGTTTTAGTGCCTTAGCCTTTTGAGGCCTTGCATGCACGTAAAGTTTGCAACTTTACGTGGTATTTCAGTCTTAAGGGATTGGATCTGTAGTTTGTAGGTTTGGATTCGACTGGAAGAACTGATTATGTTAAGACAAGGGAAAACTCGACGAGTTGCCCTGGCGACTCGGCGAGTTAGAGCGGGTTTTCCCGTTTTCGGTCTGCAGAGTAAACTTGGCGAGTTGATAAGATAACTCGACGAGTTGGATCGGGTTTTTCCCTTTTTCGGTCTGACAAGTAACTCGGCGAGTTGGTTAGGGTTTTTCTCGGTTTTCTGAACACTAAAGGAACTCGACGAGTTGCTAGATGCACTCGACGAGTTGGGCAACATGGACTGTTGACCTTGACTTTTGACCTTGACTTTGACCATGGTTGACCAAGTTTGACTTTGAGGATATTTTTGGTATTTCGGGATTTTGACAAAACCAGTCACATGATGATTGTAGGCAGTTGAGTTGGAGATGCGGGTTGGGACTTATCTGATCTTATCTTATCAGTTCAATATTTTTGAGAGGTGAGTCTCCTCACCATACCAATGGGTCTAAGGCACCAAGGCCGGCCCATTTTATGATATGTGGTACACTAGTTGATGTAGTGTTATGTGGCATGTTAGTTGGTTATATGCTAGGAGGTATGTTGGTTGTATATGTGGTATACTTGTATGAAAGACCATGGGGGAGCCCATGGCACTTGGATGTCAGACCATGTGGAGAGCCCATGGCTTTCCTATTAAAGACCATGGGGGAGCCCATGGCACTTGGATGTAAGACCATGTGGGGAGCCCATGGCTTTCCTATTAAACACCATGGGGTGAGCCCATGGCACTTAGGTGTAAAACCATGTAGGGAGCCCATGGCATCTTGGAGTAAGACCCTGGGGGGAGCCCACGACATCCCTATATGTTGTATGCATGGTTTATGTGGTTTATGTAGCTTTTATAGCTAATATGGTATATGTGATTATGTGGACTGTGTGGGGTATGCTCTGGGGAACTCACTAAGCATTAGTTTACAGTTTGTTGATTTGTTTCAGGTACTTCTGAGCCTAAGGGCAAGGGCAAGGCTTGATGGCGCGACATGCACTCTTCGACATTTGATTTGATGGGACACTCTGATATTTCAAATAAAATGTTGATGTTATGGATTTGAAAACAATTGTCATTGATATTTCATATTTTATGGGGATGTTTGATTAATTAAAAGTGAACAATTTATTTGGAAATTTTGGTCGTTACAAGTCATTTAAAACTCTATTGTACAAGATCTCCTATTTACAACCCTAAAGGTACATATGGTGATACAAAAAAACAGTTTGTGTTGAGTTTCAACAAAGTAGGAGACTCGGGTGCTACTTCTTTGGAAGTACATTCCTTCAGCCAAGAGAAATGTGGGAATTCCTTAGCCCATATGTGTAATAATACAATCAACCTTTTAGTATAGTTGAGGATGATGGATTTAGGGATTATACAAAGGACTTGCAACCTCTGTTTAAATTGCCTTCAAGGTGGATTGTCATAAGGGATTGTCTGCAGGTATACAAAGAAAAGTTGTATAAACTGAAGGATGTTTTAAAAATGATACCGTCTCCATTACAACTGATACTTGGACATCCATCCAAAACATTAACTACAATTGTTTAACGGTACATTGGGTTGATGAGACGTTGGTTTTAAGAAAGAAAAATCTTAACTTTTGTCCCAGTGCAAATCATAAAGTTGTAACTATAGGAAAACTCGTTTACAAATGCTTATAAAATTGGGGAATTGAGAAGGACTTTACAGTGACTGTGGATAATGCTTCCTCAAATGATGGGGAAATTACGTATCTAGTGACCATGCTTAAGGGACCCCATGCTTTTTTGGATTGCAAATACTTGCATTTGGTTTTTATGGTCATATCATAAATCTTGTTATTTGGGATGGATTAGAAGTTCATTTTAATTCCATCATAAAGATCTGAAATGTTGTGAAGTATGTGAGGTCATCGGGTGCAATGTTTGCTACATTCCAAGAGTTTGTTGAGAAAGTGAAGGTTAATTGTAGTAAGAAACCACCCATCGATGTTGACACAAGATGGAATTCTACATTTTTTATGTTGGAGATGGCTGAAAAGTATGAGGTTGCGTTTGATAGGTATTTTAATAAGTATGATATATTAACATTTTGTTTATAATTTACATACTAATGTTGTAATTGGGTTTTAATTTGTATTGCAGGCTTCTTGCGATTGATAGTGGTTTTAAAACTTTTTATGGAAGTGAGGTTGATGATGGTGAAGTGACTACGAGAAAAAGAATGAGAGGGTTGTGGGGACTCCCGATGTCGGCGATTGGGAGGTTACTAGGTATATTTATTTTATATATTTTACTTCAATTATGAAATCTAATATTGTTTATTTGTCTTCGTAGGTATTTTATCGACTATTTAAGGATCTTTTACAATGTCACAACAAAGATATATAGGTCCAAGTATGTGACAGTCAATATATTTTTAAGGCACTTGTGACAATGCAAGCAAGCATTATTGGAATGTCTTCAAGAACAGACGAGAAGAAGAAAAAGATGGCAACGTCGATGAAAGAAAAATACGACAAATATTGGGAAAACATTGAGAACATGAACTTCTTGCTTCGTGTTGTTGTTTTTTAGATCCCCACAACAAATTGCATTATTTGGAGTATTGCTTAGTGTTGATTTATGGTAAGAATTCTCCCAAAACAAAAACTATTATGGAGCACATCAATAAAACACTATAGGACCTATTTCAACACTTCAAGCATAAGACGGAGAGAGAAAGATGTGAAAATAAAAGGGGTGCATCGTCTTCTACACCTATTTATTTTGACATGGACTTGATATGGAAGACGATTTTGAAAGGTTTATGGAACAAAGTGGGTAAGGGGTTAATAAAACAGAGCTTGAGATTTATTTATCAGATGGGAGGGAAAAGCGGGTGGAGGATTTCCAGATTTTAGGGTGGTGGAAATCTAACTCAACAAAGTTTCATGTACTTTTTGAAGTGGCGAAACTTTTTTTAGGAATGTCGATCTCTACAGTTGCATCATAGTCGGCCTTTAGTACTAGTGGGAGGGTGATTGATGCAACTAGAATCTCCCTTACACATGTGACTAGTGAAGCTTTGATTTGCGACAAATTTAAAAACATGGCGGCTGTATATATGGAAGAGACGTAGGAGAATTTGTGCTAATAGAAACCAGTAAATATTTTACTACTTTTACATAATTATAAGTCTATAATTTCATAGGTTTATAACTAAATACTATTGTTTTTTGGTTTGTAGAGGAATTGGGGTGTGGTGAAAAGAGTTGCATGGATGAGGATTTTACTTGAATTTTAAAGGTTTCTAACTCAATAATTATCAATTTATACTTTTACACAAGTGTATTACTCAATAATCAATACTAATGTTTTTTAGTTTCTAGATGAATTAGGAAATGGTGAAAAGATTCACATGGATGTGGATTGAAGATTGGTGTTTTCATGTTTTGGTTGTAATCAACTATTTCGAACTTTGTGTTTTACTTTGATTGTGTTTTGGTTATAACAGACTATTAGGGGCTTTGGTTGTAACTTGTAATAGACTATTTGGTTTTAAGACTCACGTTTTTTAAGGTAATTAACTTTAATTTGGTCTTTTTTATTACATAGAATTGGCAGGAAGAATCTGGTGGTTTTGTGCATTTCCACATATTTGGTTAAAACCCATGGGTTTAAACCTAGAACCCAACAATATATGGGTTGAATCCAAGAAAGCAAACAATTGCCAAAACCGACTCCAGAACCTAAGAAACCGAATCTATTGGGTTCTGAAAACCATAAACCGACCATTTTTCGGTTTGGGTCCAAAACCGGCCCATGCACAACCCTGCTTATTGTACCCATCTAAACAATTAATGAGAATTACCATTCTACTGGTGGGTTTTGAGCATAACAACATTCTTATGGTGTACATGCAACCCTAATTGCTTTGGATCTAGGTTTTTGTCTATTGAACATACGACTATGAATACCTGTGACAACCGTCAATTTTTGGCCAAGTCAAAGTCAACTAAAGTCAACAAGTCAAACCGGTCAACTC